TCAGTTTTGTTATCATGGAGCTTGGTCGTGTCTCTTTTAGTAACGTTTCTAGAAATGTGCAGGCTTTAGCCATTGTTATAAAGATAAATCTTAAGTTTTTTATCTGTGATGATTTCAGTTATTTTGCTTTAGTTAGAGACGTGTGTGGAAACCCTACAATGCTGTGCTGTGAACATGTCAAAGTTTGGAGAGGAAGCATACCAGGAGTGCTGTGGCCGTCTGTTGGAGTTCAGGTGATGTGGAAAACTGGGGTCTTTGGGCCTGATGGTCACTGTGGAATAGGTAACCTCATCTTCATAAGAAGTGGTATCCTAAGAGAAAGAAGAAGTTGATGTAATATGAGTGTGTTGTGTTTAGCAGAGATGCTGAACAGTTACGATTGTGGATCGTTACTTACATCCCGGTGTGAGCCCCTCTGTGAAGCCGTAGAAATGGCCTGAGGAGGGACAGAGGGAGTCGAGGATGGAAGCGGGTGGATGTTAGCATAAGTGGTGTCAGGTGGATCTTCGGCGGCTGAAGATCTTGATCTTGTTCTGATGAGCCTGGAGTCAAACACTCTCTGCCAGAGTGGACACATCAAAATCATCACTCCACTAGAATATTTGGTCTGCTATCTGTGTGTGTGTGTGCATGCTCTTCAGCGGGATACTTCCCAAATCTGTGTGTAACTGACAGATATGGCTTATTTAAAGATTTTTTTGCATGTACTCACTTTCTTGTCTGCGCTAGTCTTCTGTTTCTTCCTGCCACGACAACAAAATTTAAAAAAAGAAATAAATCAAGAGTTAAATATGTCAAAAGTTGTGCCAACTCAAGCCAGAACAGAACGTTCTTCATTGCTCAGTCACGTTTCCTAATGTTTAAGGGAAGCTGTTATGTAATACTAGCAAACACAGGCAGCTTACGTGCTAAAATGCTGCCTTCTAGGAGTTTCTAAATATATCAAAACTAACAACATTTACAGACACAATCCATAAAGAATCCATGAAAGTTGCTTTATGTATAGTAGTGACCTTCTGTGCTGATATGGACCCTAGCAATAAATGCTCCCCTCCCTACTAAACGCCAAGATACCGACTGTCAGTGTAGAAATATGCTGCGGTGGCTGATGTGTTAAAAATGGCAGCAGCAGAATGGAAATTCAGATGACACACACGGTGCATGTTAACACTCATTACAGCATTAGGTAAGACACGTTTTTAAAAGTTCTGCAACACGTGAAAAAAAAATACAGTGACATAAGAAATATGCACATTTAAGTAAGTGTTTAAGTGCAAAAAAATGACATGAGTCAGCCTCACTAAAGCCTCACTCTCCATCGCTTACTGACTCACCGGAACAGAAGAAGCGCCACCACTAGTGTCACAAGAAGAGAAACTCCAATTCCAGCCAAGACTAGGAGGAACTGCCCTTCTGAGGGGAAAGCACACACTCAGCGTGGAAATAACATATAGTCAATCAGCTCAATAAATTTCAATAAAGGAATTGAGGCAACTTAAGATTTATTTTTCATATCAGATTAAGAGGTATGTGGTATTTTGCACAGATTGCCTTTTGAGGATACAACGAGCATCTGTAAGTAGTGGCTCCTACCATCCTGCTTTCTCTGCATGGACAGCAGCACCTGAGTTGAGTTGCTCTCCCCGAGACTATTCCTGACCTTGCAGAGGTACACTCCACTGTGGGACTCTTCCACAGAGGGAAGGGAGAGCAGCTGTCCTGAGCCCACCTGCAGCATGGAGCTGGTGGCGTCAGAGTCAACCATTTTGTACCATATGTAGCTGTCTGCTGCGGGGTTAGCCACACTGCTGCAGGTCAGATTGACACTGCTGCCCTCATCAAACAGCTGTGGATCCACTGAAATGGAAATGTTCATTGGAGGGTCTGAAAAAGCCCAAACATCACGATTGTTAACAGATTTGTTTTAAAAAGACAGGAAAAATGGTGATCAGTGATCAGCTGTTCACAACCTCTTCTTCTTTGTGTGCTAAAATCTGAAGAGACACATTACAACTAAAATACTTACATTTAAATGTGCTCTCTTGTCTTCCTAATAAAAACAGAAGAGATACACTTCTCAATAGCTTTAAGATCCAAAATTTAAATTAAAAAAAGGATACCTTATAAGAGTATCTGTTAAACTCTAATTTCATCACGTATTTGTTAGGACAGGACAGACTTTGTCTTCCAGAAGTGATCTCTAAATTAAAGTGGACATGTAAGACTAATTTGTACCATGGAGCCCTAGTCTAAAAAAACTGTTATAGATTTAACTTTTTCTGTGAAGCTCAATTTAGGAAATAAATGTTTAAAATAAAAGTTTTTAGAACCCACATAACCCCACCTAAACACTAAAAACAGTCTAAGGGTGTCACCTTAGACTGCAACAATTTTTTTAAAATTTTGTTTCTGGTCCTTTCATTCATCAGTCTCTTCTCCCTATGGACAACACTAAAGAACCTGTTAGCTTGTGAATAATCAGGTCTTAGAAAATGTCCTTTTTCAGTAGATGGTGAAACCAGTTAGACGACATATGTGTGCTTTACTGTGAAAAGTTAAAAAATGATTAATCAGCATGGATATTTTAATATCACTTCCTCCAACCGTGAACTTTAACAGAGTGCCTCCAGACTGAACTTTTTGACACATTGTGACAGCAAACAGACAGACTGTAGCAATCATCAGGAAGTTGTGATATCAGTCAGTTGAGGATTGCCTTTGAAATGTCTGACACTGTACTCATGACCATGTGTCGAATTGCGCTCCTAGATAGCTTCCAAGTAACCAGACACACTCACATCTAACGTCAAGGTGAACCTCAGTCGAGTTGATCAAGTCGATGCCCCTCCAGCTGATGTTATTCCTTGCCTGGCAGTAGTACCACCCTCTGTCGCTGGGCAGGATGTCAGAGATGATGTAATTCTGCCCTGAACTGATAAGCTGTCCATCCTTATACAGGCGGTATCCGCTGTGTGCCACAGGAGGGTTGGCATCGCTGCTGCAGGTCAAAGTCGCTGTCCCTCCACTGCGGATGTCTCCCCGTGGACTCACTGATAGTGTCACTTCTCTGGGAGCGTCTGCTTGAGAGGAGAAAAGGAAGTGTAGCCACATGGATGATAAATCCTGATCGTAATGATGGAGTCATTAAAAGTGTCAATACATGCAACAAAAATAAAATACAATGCAGGAAAATTTCAGTATTTTACTTCTCCTTTTCTGTATTTAAAACAAATTTTGACAAGCCACAGAAAAACTCCTCTGTCATCCTGCTGTCTCTTATCTCGTTGGCACGGGCCACAACAATGGTGCTCATGCTGGATAAAACATATCCTTATCTGACCTTATGTGACATTTCACACTTAGATCTTCAAGCAGCCTTTAACCTCCTAATTTCCCAGAGTAAAGGTGATATATTGTGATGTCCAACTGAGGATATGTAAAAGTACAACTTGAGCCAATTTCTGGACACAATTGTCCAAAAATGATTCTAATAATTCACATGATCAAAGTTATTGAAATATTATGATGAGATTCAAGTGTACTCCTGTAACAACTGGTCTTCCTCACAGGAGACAGAAAGAAAAACACAGTCATATATAATAAAGTTAATCATATGAGAGCTTCTGGTTCAGTTACAAGTCTGGGGTATTGTGGACGCCAGCTCACCTCCCTGACATAATGTAGCATGTGAATAGAGCGGGGCCTGTAACTTGAATTTTGTGGTATGCTTTCTTAACCCTCTACTCACATTGAACATTCAGAGCCACATGTGCAGATCTGACTGATTCCTGTCCATGGACTGCACAATAGTAGTCCCCAGCATCCTCTCTCCTGGCCTGGAAGATTGGATTTGACACAGGTTGCCCATCTCTGAACCAGACAATGTCTTTAGGCTCAGGACAGCCTGACATACAGGTCAGCGCGACACGACCTCCCTCTGTCACAGTGCTCGGCTCGATGACTGTGGTCAGCTCTAATAAAGAAACATAAATCAATAAATGTTTGCTAAACTCATCGAAACAGAAATGTTCTCGTAATTAGTCGTTACCTCCCACAGACAAGTACATCGGTTTTATGCTCATCCATCTGTTGAGTGTTGTGGTAAAATGAAAATAGTAAGCTCCTTCATCAGTGTGTTGTACATCATTGACCTTCAGACTGCAGTCGCCACGGAAGTTTCCCAAATATTTAAAGTGGTCCGGACTTGAAGTAAGTTTATCAAGAGGAAAAAGTCTCCATCCGCCAGATGCATACAACTTTTTAAACCAGCTGACAGAAGTAACAAAGTGACCTACAGGGTAGTCATATTTGCAGCTGATCAATACTGATGTTCCTTTCAAAGCACACTGATTTTCAGACGTCACACTCCAGTCTCCGCTCCAGACACCTTTGGACAAAAATGCAGAAAATGAAGAAAAATGTATTTTCCAGAATTAGCGCTGCAGTTTCATTTTAGTCATCACATATCCTGTTTATTAGATTACAAAAAAAATCTCCTCACCTGGCGTTATTACCAGAATGATCAGGCTCCAGCTTTCCATTATTTGAAGTTTTACCTGCAACAATCATGACACAGGTCAACATACACCAACTGTCCCAAAAAATAAAGAAACCACGAGTTAGTGATCAGAAGTACTCACCGGCTGAAGCAAAGTGGCTTATTGCTTTACACATTCTTCATTTTTGTGGTGCAAAAAGCAGAAGTAGGCACACATCGTTTCGTTGCTTCCTCTAATGTCACACTTTCAGAATGATTATGGAAAGTTATAGTTTCAATTTTTAAAAAAAAAAACAGATATCAACACAAATATTTCAATTTATAATTAACCTATTATAATGTTTCCATACTCTGTTAAACAAAGCATTATCTAATCATTTTATTTAAAAAAAGACAACTAATTGATACAGCTTACATCTAATGAAGATATTTTATTTATTTAAGATGATCAACTCTGACTTTGACTGACATTTCTCATTTGTTGAATGCCCGCTGCTCTAGCCCATCTCCTTTTTTTTGTTGAGGAAAGGAGTCAAGGATGTAGGAAGGGCTTGTAGACGACCTGAAATATATTTTTCCACCAGGTGGGGCTACCGGTCTGTTTAAGTAAAGCTGGAGAACCCACCGGTGTCTTCATATATATTTTTTGCTCAAAGTGCAGTGCTATGAACGTCTTAATGTATTTTCATGTGATACCTCTGTGTGCAGCTGTCACTCTAACGCTGTGGCACTGGATTGTTTTGTGTTTTGGATCTTGCAGGCGTTTAACCTGAAGTATCAAAAGCAATGGATTTTAAGAGCATGTTTCATGACTCATTCAGGTTTGTGGTTCTTGTATCCAACATAAGTGAATTATGCTGTGCAGTGTGGTTGGTGTCCATGAACAGGAAGAGCCTGTTCTCAAAGGAACAATCACCATGTGATTTCCTCTCCGCTGTATTTAACTAAGGCATTATTAAGGTACTTTTATATCGTGCGTCCAACAGGATGATTGTAACATCATGATTTGTCATGACTGATTTCTTAATGTTGTCTTTTCTGGACACATTGCCCCACTGAATATTGCAATTGCTGAAAAAGAAAGGAAATGTTACAAACAGCACATTAGTGACACATTTATAGGCAAAAACATTTTCTAAACTTTGAAAGTTTGAAGCTATAGGATGAAGTTCTGCATCAGGCCAAATATGTACTGCTTCAGAAAGAGTGAGTGAGCCTCAAAAGAAATGTGTGTACAAATCTGGGACTCATCAATACTTTCTTGAATTTGTTCGTACTCTACGAGCAAATGTAGAAGCGCTTCAGAGCATCCATATGAACAAATGATAAAAGCCTGGATGTCTTAGAAAATTTAGTCACACATCTTTAAACTGAACACTACAACTACTAATTCTAGTGGTTATTATAAGTTTCTTCATCATTCAAAGATTTCCAAAACACTAAAAGCTTAAAGTGCTCAGAATTAGAATGAAATATGTGACAAATGTGAACACTTTTAACCTTTTTATTAATAAGCATATAACAGCTAACAAAGACATTGTGGTGTCTAATATCTCATCTTAAAATATTCTTCATTTCCATCCAGCAAGTATGGAAGATGAAGATTATAGTTTCATTTCTCCACACTGTCCCAGCTTTGCTCGTAAAAGTGGATGTTTTTCAATAACTGCAGTGCAGTTTCTCATCTGAGGCTCACACATCCTTGTCCTCAACCTTTTTATTATGATCAGTTGCTCTTTTATTTCCCAATATCAATTTAGATATATTCCAGCCCAAGCCTGGTGTTTTCTTCTTAAAAAAATGGAAACAATCGCTTTAGAGTAAAAATGCACTTTTTCTTCAGAGAGTATAGTTTCAGTTGCTTCAGTCAGACTTCATTTATGAATTGATTTCCATTAATTTCAAGATAAAGAGATTTCTTTATATAGAGAAAAGAGGGTGTGGTATGGAGATTATGGTAGCAGTCAGGAGTAGTTGAGAGTGAATCCAACTGACAAACGCGGTGATAACTGGGACAATACTGGTTCATGTTTGAGGTTTCACTTTTTTTTTTTGCACAATAAGAACATTTAGGTTAGTGAATGAGACCCAATATGTGCTTATTTTTCCTTTTCAGGCTTAAAATCTAAAGTGTTGCAAAACAGCAAAACAAGACGTGGATCACCACAAGAAGCAAGACGTTCTTGAGTTGTTCCATGTCACTGTGGAAAGTCTCAAATGTCTGGTGAAAACCGTGCACAAAATACACAGTTATTGATAAATACATAAGATTCTTGTGAGAGTTAATTGTTTGAAATATTTATTATTTTATTAAAAATGAATTAGATGATATTTTAAAATCGGCAGCAAAGAAAAGCAGACATGCACAACTGATTGATTTGATTTGATTTTATTGACAGCTCATTTGCATTGACTGGATATAATACAAGCTCTATCAACTGCACAGACATCTAAATTTAGTGGAGAAGATCAATCAGTGCGGGAACTCATCAATGTGAAGTGCTGTATATCCTTTATGCATGTCAAAAATGATTCTACGTGATTTCTCCCTCAGATATCAAGCTCTTATTTTCATACAAATCATCACTGCAAATGATAAAGTAGCAACCGCTAATACTTGGTCATCAAAAATTCCACTGTTAAGTATCAACAAACAGGCAACACTAGAAATATGGCAACCTGCAACGTGGAGTGCAAGCAAAAAGGCATTCAGTGTTATTGCTGTTCAGGTGCACAGAAAGAAACAGAGAAGATATGCAGGAAAGTTAGGAGCTGGACTCCTGGAAAGAACACATGCTTCTCTCTTAGTAAATCCATAATGCGACACAATCCGAGTGTCTGATCCAAAACGGTGTACGGTGTCACCAGGGTGAGTTTCTTGTCCCTCGAGTGGACAGAAGCAAAGTGATTTGCTCAAATGAGGAAAGCTGATGTGCCATTCAGCTAAGAAAGAAAACAGGAGAACAGAATAAAATATAAAATCTGCACTGAAACAGGGAGCGTGTCAAGGTAAGAAAAGCAACAACAAACCTACATCACAGTGCTGTTGGGGTTTTTGACACGAGCAGCTGTAAGTGACTTACCTGAAGCTGCTTCCTCCTGGTTAGTGACGAGGCTGGGGCAGTAAAGTGTAAACAACTTTGGAGGAATCCTTTGGTTTTTTATCAGCACCCAGTGGCCGGTTGTGCACCTGCACCTGATCTGTGCTGCACAGACAGCAAACAGGAACCACATTAGTTCATCTCACATCATATCATAAAAGTAACAGGTCAACATAACATGAAGCAATAGTAGAAAACAGCAAAAGTAACAATAGTACTGTGGACCTAAACGTTGGAGAAACAAATCGACAGTGAAACAGGAAGTGGGTCTTAAATTTGGGGACGATTACTGGGGAAAAGTAATTGGCAGAATTCATACCTCACCCTCATGAAAAAGACTCTCCCTTATTCAGGTTAAGACCGTATGCAGATTGCATTTGTCAAAATCAAGACGATCTAAAACACATTCCGGCATCCTTTTAATACCTCTGCCCGTGATTTAACTTGCATGTTTTTTACCAGCTCAGTCATGCTGGACTTTTTATTTTGAGGTGCTTGCGCATGTTTTGATCGTTGAGCTGAAATCTCGTCCACTAGTTGCCATTTTTGGTCTCTGAGGATTCCACTCTAAACCGTAGTCGTAAGCAGATGGATGTCAATGCATTTACTTCATTGTTGATGTAGAATTTTGCTGTCCTCACCCTCCAGCTACATCACTTTGGCTGAAAGATGTTTTTTTTTAAACTGGGAAAAATCTAATTCAGGCTCAGAGGGAATGCTAATAAGTTCTTATACATGTGGCAGCCATTTATCATTTATTTTAACTGCTTGAAAACAATTGCACTAGGCTAATTTTGAGTGTTTGTTTTTTAAATTAAATTTTTTTCAATATATTGGGTGGGACCTTCGGGATGGGGATTTGTTTTAAGCTGTTTTGTAGTTTGTGTAGTATGGGAAAAAGAGATGCAGGTATACTGTACCTGGACAACCTGGAGTAGTGCACAGTGATGTAGTTGGAGGCAAGGCTGCAACTTTGACCTTCTGTGATTGGTGGAGCATCCTTCAGAGGAACAATGGAGGGATGGGAGCTGTCACTCAAATCCTCTGGCTCCTCCTGCACACACACACACACACACACACACACACACACACACAAATGCAAAAACTGCATTTCTCATCCATAGCCACATATGCCTCGTAAATGTTTTCTCACCGGTATGTCGGACATCTTGCCCTTCCTCGCTGGGTAGATATGTTCAGCTGACTCATAAAACATAGTGTCAGCTGTCACTGATGGACACTGTGGGGGACACGCACGAAAACACACACACACAGCAGAGAAAACTGAGAATTAGACTTACAGCAAAGCTACAGCAAGAAATGAAGAGATAGAGCAATTCCATAACTGATCAAAACCAATTAAACAAAGATCACCGTACCTTGTTTGTCACTTCTACTGACTCTGTGTCTACTCTATGCATGTTTTTACTGGGAAGGTAAAGAAAAGGGATGGTTAGCAAGTGACAACCCCTCTAACAACACTAATACAAATAAGCCAAAGGGAAGAAAAACGAGCAACTGACAAAACTGTCATATGTTCCTCTATAAAACAGAGGAAGAAATTGTGCTTTTTTTTAATGTCTGCGTAAGATCACAGAAATAGCCCAGGAGTAGTAATGGATAAATAGCAGTGTACTTCCTGTCACCTGATCATAACAGCCACTGTCAGTGTGATGAGTCCAGCAGAAACACCCACTGCTGAGGCCAAGGCAATGACCTTTAAACGACCTGCCAATGGAAGGATTACAAGGGTTATCAGCGTGACTAGAGGGAGGAAGAAAGGAGATGAAATGATGGAGTACAGAAGTGCCGCAAGCTAAAAAAAGATCAGAAATAAAAATAGAAAGTGTATGTGACTAAAGAGGGAAAGAGCACGGCATTAGTTAGCCGCCGTCTAGACTTTAGTCTTGTGTTTCCAGTCCTGATTTCCAAACCCAGCTCCACTTCTTCGGCTGTCTAGACTCACAGAGTCGTTTTCCACAGCACCTCATCACCTCCTCCCCCCCCTTGTAGAGAGAGGGCTTTAAGTGACTCACCATGACTCATACAAAAACAGTCAGAAATCATGAGACCATATACAATGAAGACCAGAGCCTGTGATACTGACAGGAAGGTTTCATCACCATTCAGACAAAGGAAAATCTATCCAAACATCTCCTATGGTAAAAAAATTGCAGATAAATACTCGAAGCCTTGTTGAGTCTGCGCCTGATTGAGTGTGAGTGTGTAAAAACTGAAGAGATCCCCCAAATTACTACAGTTTATCCGGAGGAAATGTGTACCTTGTGTATGTGAGGACAAAGTTTAAAAACTTTCCAATGATTTTTGAGCTTTCATTTTGATGATGTCTTGCTGCTTCCAAAGAGCAATATCCTGGGAGGAAAGTACCAAAAACTGAAGTTCTGAAACTGGACATTTGCGCTAGCTAGTGCCAAAAGTGAGTCAATCTAAACTTGGGCAGAATTAGACCAACAAAGCTTTGGTCTATAGTGCTAACATACCTCTTTATTGAAAACTGTAAGGATATTTATGTTATTATTAATGTTTTTATGGTGGAGTTTTTTCTAGCTAAAGCTAAATATGCTGGTAATGTTTGGCTAAAACCAACTGCTAAACTGCTTTTCTGCTCTCTGATAGCGCTTTAGCTATTAGCTATGTATTGCTTCAGCTAATAAGAACAAGAAGGAATTGTGCCTGTGGTAGCATCTTTAAAGCAATTATATAATGAATATCATTCTTTTCTTATTAACTGTGCTTATTAACTACAGCTTGTTTTTCACACTTTTGGTAAACAATATTATTTTGTTTTCATGTTAGCTCTAATTAGCAGGGATATGTGTCTATTTGCAGAAGCACTTCGCTAACCACAGCAGGAGGCGTTAGCTGGTAACTTAGCACTCCACTCTGTCATAATCAGTTTTGGCTGCATAAAACAACAAATACACTAAACTTGAGGCTTCAAACCATGCACATCTTTATATATATATTTTATAGTCTGTGGGTGTTGCTAGTTAATCAGTGTTTGGATCCTCTTTAAGAATATTCATGTCCCTACATAATTTCATCTTTGTTCAGATATTTCAGTCTCAGCCAAAGTGGCGGGCAGACCAAACAACATGTCCTTCTTTAAAGTTGCACTGTGGTTAAAAATACAGCCATGATTTTTATAAACTAACAAAAAAAAAAACTATGCTTGAAAACATCCTGTTGACAGACATGTAACAAATGTGAATGCGTTTGTACCTCTGACTCTTACGGTGAGGACTGGAGAGCTGTGGGCTCCAATTCGATTCCTGGCCTCACAGTAGTACTGACCGCTTGCACTCGGGCCAACCTCAGAGATGGTAAAGACAGGACCAGACTTGGTGACCCAAGCTGCATGTCAGAGCACAGGAAAGGATATTCTTCTTATGCATGCCGCAACACAAATTCATATAACATATTTCCTGTGGAGGATCCTACAGATGGAAATGTTGCCTTTGTATAAATGCTTTAAAATGTATTAGTTAGTTTTTATATGCTGACATTGCACAGCCCCTCCATCCAGAGCTAATCGGTGCCATGTGAAGTTGTCCACTGCTGGGTTCGCCTGACTGCTGCAGGTCAAGGTCAAAGGTCTGCCAGCATCCACAACACTGGAGGGACGAGCCAGAACTGAAGTGTTCTTAGGGGGATCTTGAGAGAGAATAAGAAAGAATTAAGACAGCTTCAAACTTTACTCTATGAAGAAAAAGCCACAGGAGTACAAGCAGAGCAGAAACTGAGAGAAAACTGCTAAACGACACGAAGCCAGCCAACACATTCATTACTTACACAGCACAGTGAGAGTAGCAACAGGTGATGTTTGGTATCCTAATCCGTTTGAAGCTCTGCAGTAGTACTGACCAGCATGGTGAGCACGCACAGACGACAATGTCAGGTTCTGAAAGGCACCTTTAGCAATCACCTGGTCACCAATGATACGATACCAAGCATACCTGTAGCAGAGAGGTGATTATGGTGGTGGGACTGGGCAAACATGAAGCAATCATTTTTTTGTTAGTTTTCCCTGGTAGAAAACATGAAGATTAGGGGGGACAGGGGCTTTTAGTCTGTGGCACCCAAACCCTGGAACCGGTATAATCAGGTCTGCTGTTGACATTCATTTGTCTTTAAGGATTTTTTAAAATGTAGTTTTAACATGTTTCTCTATTGATGTTATTAAAGTGTTTTAATTGCTGTACAGCACTCTGTGCCTTTTATGGCCACACAATGTGCTAACTAAATAAACTTTACTTACTTATATTTTTAATGACTGATAGTGCTGGGGGGGGTTTTGGTGAAGAAATAATAAAATAATTCAGGACTTGCAAACTATCCACTTTTTAATGAGAAACAAGACTGAAGTTTGAATTTACATAAATTTAATGTGGTGAAAAGCCATGGGAGAATCATGATAATGACGAGGAAAAACACCAAGATGAGGAAAAAATACGTAGTAGAATTAAACTTGGTTGTTGCTGTACCCTCGTACCTGTTGGCAGGAGGGTTTGCGTGGCTGACGCAGCTCAGGTTTGCAAATGAGCCCTCTCTCATATCCCCTCGAGGACTCACCAGCACATGAGTGTTCTTTGGAGAGTCTAAAGAAGCGGACAGACAGTCAAAAAAGAAAAAAAAGATGCTATTATTTATAGTGATTATGCAAATTCTCTTTGAGGTTGCGTCAGTAAGGACGTCCAGCATAAATTTCCAAATCAAACACACA